TTAAATTATACGTTTTCTTTTTAATGATACTTTGAATTTTGGTTGTGAATTTACCCATTTAAGAAACTTTGCACTATAAACATTCCAACGATGGGCCTAAATTATTTTAAGAAAACAGTCTCATGTTTCATATTATCACCTACTCTTGACTACCCAGACTTGGTAATATCACACTAATGCATTTACGATAATGATACAAACGCGAGGATTCGTGTCTGGACAGGAAAGTTCCGTCGTCGGCGAAGCGCCGAAGATGCGTGTCTCGTGCGAGCAATCGCAATCGTGGAGAATTTCTCATTGAGAAGAAATAATCCGCGACGATTGGCACGGATAACAGCGTTATCCGACCCGGTCGTGTTCGATCCGATATATCGCCGTAACCGGTCGGCAGATAAAATGGAGGAAACTTCGAGCAAACCCGCGGACAACATTCTCTTTTTACTAGATAAGGGATGCTCGTATGTACAATCACAGCCCCGTCGTCGTATCGTACTATTATCGCCGGACAATAAATGCAGACATTTCGTAAACTTTCGGGGAAAACCACTCACGAAGACATCACGATTTTACTGCACGCAGAAAGATGTCATTCTGCTAAGAAAAGCGATTGCTCAGTTTACTTTCTCTCCTTGAGGCAATTACTTTTTAGCAAAGGCTATTTTCTCGATAACAGTCTTGAAGCATGCTCATCACAAATTTGAAAAAAGCTCATTAGTATCCAAAAGGAAGAATTTATTCTCTTTACGAAAATATCATAAAACTTCATCTAAGAGAAATCCGATTTTATTCGGTAAGCAAGGCGGATATTTGTTTAAGTATTCTTCATCGAGAAATTGTCGAATTCTTAGTAGAATTTAAAATATATTTTGAATAAATTTGATACTCGCGATCAATTTATGACAGATTTGCGGATATTTGTTTGAGTTAAGTATCCTTGATTGAGAGAAATTGCCGAATTCTTATTAGAATTTAAAATATATTTCGAATAAATTTGATATTCGCAATCAATTTATGACAGATTTGCGGATATACAAACCTTGGAAACGCTTGAAACAACCCGGAAAAAAAAAGTTTATATATGAATTTTATCTATATATGTTTATATATAATTATATATAATCTTTTTTTCCCGGAAAGTAACATTCATTTGTCTTGCATCTTTTCTGTAAATATTTGTGGAAGTATTTCCGTTCGGCCACGGACTATTTGGATAAATAATATAATTTAAAATCGATGACAAACGCACCGTACGCGAAGAGCGACTCAGGAACTAACTGCGTGTACAGGTAAACATTAGACGCTAGTTTGATCTCTCGTGCGATTTTTCCGCGATATCTCTAAGACGAGAGGAGACTGATAACGAGCGTTTGAAGCGTCTGATTCTCGTTACTTGTTTATTCTTTTTTTTTCCCATTACGGATGACTCTCGTCGATGGAATTAAAATACCGTCTCACTTTCATTCCGCATGAGCTTTTATGTATTTTGTGTATCTCGAGATCGTTTGCTGGCTTGATTGCTTTAGAAATTGCAACAACGCTTCCGCACTTTATTTGCAATTCCGCACTTTATCGAGATAAAATATATTGTATATGAAAATAATTTTCTGAAGTCTATTTTCTACTTACAGTAAAGATAAAATCAAAATGTTCCTGTGTATGAAATTTTTCTCTTAATTTGTAATAAACCACTAAACTATTTATGTAACAAAGCTCTTTTTTACTTAAATAATTATCTCTTGTTCATATTATAAGCAATTAGCATTGATATCATGGAGAACAGAATAAATAAATCAAGATATCTGCATTAGTTCAAACATACATATGATAATAATTTTAGACATCTATTTTCTCATAAATCTCAAATGTTCTTATATGAAATTTTTCCTTTAATCTGCGGCTTTATCTTTATTATTTTCATTTCTATATAAGGTGTTGGAATCGCGTCTTATTCGACGATTATTGCGCGGACATAAAGGGCGGTATTCACGGCCGGATCTTATGTTTAAGATCGTTTTAACCCTCCGTAGGCACCCAGGATTTATTTTATCCGCATTAAATTCCTATTTTTGTTGAAATTGCTTCCAAATTTTCATTTTTCCTAATTAAGCCTGTAAACATTTGACTCAAGTAGCGATTGTACATTAAAATAGAGACTTCAGAAAGTACCCCAGAATTTTTTCAGATTTTTTGAAAGCTTATAACAGTTCAAAAAATAGTCGCGGACAAAATAAACCCAATGTGCCCACGAGAGATGCGAAAACCAAGTGTGGCCACGGAGGGTTAAATTTATTTTCAGATATTTGGTAGCCAATGAAATAATACAGCATGTAGATAAATTTGAGACGATTTTAACTATAAGATCGTAAAGATCATGGAAAAAGATAATTTGTTGCAGCAAACTAATTTGCTACATACGGACAGTTGAATATAATTCGCTGTGTTAGCTACTTCTTTTTGCTGCAGGAACCTATTTTTCTTGCTATGATAACAAGAAAATCTGCTCCTATAGCAAGAAAAGTAGCTAACGTAACAAATTTGTTATAGATAGACAATTAAATATAATTTACTGCTTTAGCTATTTTTTTGTTGCAGATTTTCTTGTTATCATAGCAAGGAAATTGGTTCTGCAGCAAAGAAAAAGTGGCTAATACAGCAAATTATGTTTAGTTGTCCATGCACTGAGAAAAAAATTATATTAAAATCAACAAATATTTCTTTAATGAGTGCAATTAACATATTTATTTAAATCTACACGGAAAAAAGAGATTTGCTAATATATGGACAACTAAAAATATTAACTGCAGGAGCAAATTTTCTTGCTTTCATAGCAAAGTTATTTAATTGTGATAGCTAAAAGATTTGCTAATATATATATATATATATATATATATATATATATATATATATATATATATTAGCAAATCTTTTAGCTATCACAACTAAATAACTTTGCTATGAAAGCAAGAAAATTTGCTTCTGCAGTTAATATTTTTAGTTATCCATATATTAGCAAATCTTTTTTTTCCGTGTACATTCTCTTTAAATTAAATATTGTTTACCTGATTTAAATAAACAATATTTGGTTTGAATAAAGAGAATGTAGATTTAAATAAATACACAGAGAAAAATAATGTTACTCTTTTAGCAAAATTGTCGTTGCTACTGCATATTCGTAGTGATAACAAAAAAATTTAATTGACGTAACTAATTTTACAAATTATTCGTTATTAGAGCAGAAGTGGTTTCGTTTCCAGGATAGAAAAAATTTATTGAATGTACTTGTCCTAAGAATCACGTTAATTTGCTATCAGTGTAAAATAATGTTTCCTAAATTTATTTGCTATCGGAGCAAAACTTATATAAACCCATAATGGTTCTTACAGCAAAATAATTTGTAGATTCAGCAAATTATATCCAGCAAATAATGATTAATATTCTTAGCAAATCTTTTTACTGTCAATAACGAAAAGATTTTGCTAGACCAGCAGAAAATTTGCTGGACCAGCAAATTATTTTTCTCCGTGCATGAATATCGGCTGAAGCGACACCTCCCTCGGTGCTTTACGTCACAAAGAGAGGCACGGTATCGCGAGGGTTGAATAAGACGAGGTGTACGAGACGCGTACTACTACCGTTATACACCGTACGTATGTATAATCGTTAAATGACGCCGTTTGGCAATTGAGCACAGGGTCGGCTCTTCAGGCGGCAATCAAAGAAGCGCGGTGCACGCGACTGTCAACGCAGCGCGACAGATGACGAAATGGGTACGGGATGCCCTACTTCGACCGCGTCACTTTCCTCCGTCAATTTTCAGCGGATTATACGGCAGATTATCGGGAAGTGAATCGCGTTCCTCGCGGCCTTCAGCCGCTCATCAGATCGCCCGCTTACGCTGATCTAGCAACCAATCCTCCGTCTTTTCGTGATTAACGTAAACATGTTTATTTGTTTAGCACCGAGGACCGCGGATGTGGAAAGTATTTTTCTTATCGCAAGCAGGAGGTCGACTAATTTTTACTTTCAACTCACCACGTTGTATCTAGTGGGAAACTGGAACGTATAAATCGGCCTATCGGTGAAGATTATCAATGGCGGTCCTATCAAGTTCCGTATGCAGCGCAGGATCGCCAGACACGCCAGCAGCAAACACATCAGGCACGTTGTTATCCTATAACATTACAAGAGAGAAAGAGAGAGAGAATAACTATTAAAAGGTATCATATTATTCTAATGAGATATTAGATGTTGGTTGTGCCAACATAATTAAACTGAAAAATAAATCATATCCCAATTACCGAATAATGCAGGCTGAATAATTCAATTCTCATTAAATAATATTACAAATTGCCATAAAATAATATCTTTAAACTAAATTTTAAAGATTTTCTTATCTTATAACATTATGAGAGAAAATAGTTATTAAAAGGTAATAGTTATTGAAACTACATCATTGTGATAGTGCGACGATGGTTTGCATAATTAATGGAATTAATGTTATATAACAAATGTTTATATAAAACTGATTTGTCAAAAGCCAAAGAAGAATATAAGAAATAAAATAATCATATTATTCTAATGAGATATTAGATGTCGGCTATGCCAACATAATTACATTGAAAAATGAATCATATCCCAATTATCAAATAATGCAGATTCAATAATTCAATTCTTATTAAATAATATTACAAATTGCCATAAAATAATATCTTCTAACTAAATTTTAAAGATTTTCTTATTCTATAATATTAGTTATATAATATTCTATATAACTTATTTTATAATATTAGTTATAAAATTAGTTATATAATATTAATAAAATAGTTATTGAAACTACATTATTATGATAGTGTGACGATGATTTGCATAATTAATGGAATTACTGACCAATGTTTATATAAAACTGATTTATCAGAAGCCGAAAAAGAATATAGGAAATAAAATAATCATAGTATTCTAATGAGATATTAGATGTCGGCTGTGCCAACATAATTAGATTGAAAAATGAATCATATTCCAATTACCGAATAATGCAGGCTCAATAATTCAATTATCATTAAATAATATTACAAATTGCCATAAAATAATATCTTCTAACTAAATCTTGAAGATTTTTTTTACAGACAGATACATTATTAATATTTCAATCATTGGAACAACTCTGACATTTACCCCTTATGTTCCCCATTCGTTAAATTTGAATAAATATAAAATTAAACGATAAATCTTTGAGAAAGTGTCGATTTTAAACTAAACGGAAACACATTCACCGGCTTACCATATGTGCATAAAAAAATAATCCTCAATGATGATCCAGCAACCTCGCCAATGAGCGTTGCAGGCCACGCCGAAAGTGTATGTGTACAGAATTCGCAGTGCGCGGTAGGGCAGTCGTTTGAACGCGCTCAGTTTTGTCCATTCGTTCATAAACGTGTCGTGAAATCGATCCTTGAAGAACGCGAATGTCACGTGAAGAGCGGCACCGCACGTGAAGCAGAACCAGTCGGGGAACCTGCCGGGCAAAGTCTCCTCGGAGTATGCGCGTGGAAAAGGGATTCGCACGTCGCGTGATCGATCCAAATATAATTAATTCATTCCCCGACCTTTGTCATTTCCGCCAGTGTGTATTACTCACAATTCCGCGTGAAGGTCCATCCATGTCCAAATCCCTCTCCAGCAGCTGATCGCCAAAGGTCCAACTATAATCAGAGAGATCAGAGTGTCGATCAGAGAGAACACTCGTTTTCTTCCTTTCGACTTGGCTGACTTCTCCGACAGTTCCGACAGTTTCGCCGTCGTCTCGAACGACTCCGCGTGAGTCTTATTCTCAGGGCGTGCTCGTTCCTACGATTTCGTCGACATTTGCAAGACGAGTCAGAATTATTCAAATCGCAAGGAAGAGAAGTTACCTCAGCATTGATCGGCTTTTTCCCGCTGAAGCCACCAGATGTTGTCTCTTCAAACTTCTTACTTCCCTCCGCTTTGGTCTGTTCAAACTTCTTACTTTCCTCCACCTTGGTCTCCTCGAACTTCTTACTTACTTTCACTTTGATCTCCTCAAATCTCTTACTTTCCTCCACTTTGGTCTCCTCAATCAGAGTCGTGAAAAGCTGATAATACTCGCGCTCACTGGTCGACTTCAACACGCTCTTGCACTCATTGATGATCAAGCACTTCTGCGTTATTTGAATGTCGCAGTTCGAAGGAACATTCTCATTCATAGATCTCACGGCAGACTCGCCATTATCGGACATCGACTTCACATCGCACATATTTATAAGCTAATACGAATATAATCGCAACAGAACACGCGTCTGTTTCGATCGGCTCTTCTATCCTTCGTTCGTTTCAGCCCCCTTCTCGCCTGATCGCGCTATATTGCCGCGCACACGGTATATGTAATTGCAAATTGTCTTCATATAATTATAAAATACATATAATTGCGTAACTCGATGCAAGATCATATACAATGGACAAAATCGAAATTCTTTACAATTCGGATACTATATATTGTTTGCATAGAGCTCTTTTTACATACGCTCGGCTCTTCGCACCGAACGTCGTGTGTGCATCAGATAAAGTACAAATCGATACGGATAACGAAGGTGCATGAAGAAAAGAATCGCGCTGCTCGCTTTATTCGCTGAAACTGTGCCCGATTGACTGAGACATAAGTAGCAGCTAACGCATGGTACAAGTAGCATTATCCACTTAGAGAACAAATCCTCTAACAGATCTTGCAAATAAGACGCGTCATATATTGTCCCGCTTACCGTTTTGCCACACCATACGCTCTCTCATTAGCAGATTTTCCCATATACGATATTTTAATGAGCACACATCTGTTTGTGCGGGAATTTACGCGAGGGAAGAACAGAGAGACCGACGGAGTTTGTCAATTAGAATGTGAATTCATATTTTTTCCAAGGTAATTCAATCGGTGATCAAAGAGGTGACAGATACTCGATATGGAAGAGAATTTATGAAAATATAAGTAAATATTATAAGTAAATAAATTGCGAGGTCGACCGTTACGCATAATTCCGAGTCGTGGAAAATATTAAACGACGATAACGACGTTATCGTCGGCGATGCGGTGCATTCCGTTTCGTTGCTTACAAGAGGGACTTTATAGTGTCTACGTTATCACGCGCTACTTGTAATTACCGTATATCTACTGTGCTATTTTTGTCGATTTACACTAAATAAGTCTTCGCGCAATGATTGCCTAACGCCGGTTTTGATGCTTTTTATTGTGAACTTTACAAAGTAATTGATTATCTTACAAACTTTGCCGTGTTACAGATTTACCATACGAGATGAAGAGATTTAAAATAAATTATAGAAGTTTCACATAATTGTGCATAATATTGAATCTTTTCTAGGCAATCTCGTTATTAATCTCTAATTAAATGGTACACATTTGTTTATCATATCTTGCAAAATGTGCACCCTAATATATTCCGTAAGATCTTAAATCAAACTTCACCAGTGTGTTCTTTGAAAGAATTTATGTTCGGCAATAATTCCATAGTGCGAGTCGTTCATGTTTCCTCGATGATTTCGGTTCTATTGGCTTCTTGCATTTTTTTAAGTTTATTTTTCCTGAATCCTTATTGTTTGAGTGTGAATTTTCAAGCAAAGAATTCTTTTAAAAACACGCTCCTGAAGTTTGCTGCAAGTTTCGCAAAACGTGTGTAACGAATATAAAATAACCGAATAAAAAATTCTACATTCGAGACTATTTTCAATAGATTTGCAATAGTATCTGTCATTTCTACTTGCTGTAATACCAGAGTATCAATACGCCTGAGGCAATCGAAAAAGTTGCGAATAAAATCTGCATAGAATATAATAAAGTTTTCATCGAATCTGTCATATTGAAAGAGGATTATATTGGAGTTCTTTAAATCGATATTACACTGCTTATTTGTTTTATATTGAAATTGTAACATTTAGACATTTGTTTATGTATATATATATAATATATATAGAAAAATGTGTGTTCCCCACTCTTGTTTTACATAACAAACACGTCCTCTTTGACAACATCCCGAATAGCTTTAACCGAAATGCTAGCTGAATCTGATGCTCATCTGAGCATTGAAAAATTCGTCAACTGAACGATTACACTTCTCGACGCTACAAAAATGCGACTTTATATGTGTGCACGTGTGTGTATGCACGTACACACACGTTATAAGAAGATTTGGTATAATAAATAACAATTATATATATATGTGAGAAAAATGCACAATATAGAAGATAAACCAAGTATAAGGATGTTTTGAGAGACGCGCGAGTGCGCGGAGGCACGCTCCAAGATACTAACAGATTTATAAAAAGTCTTAAAAGTGTATCTCCCATATTGTGCATACACTCATTATGTTTGCGCGCTTTAACAACACCGACTGGCTTGAAATTAGTACCTAATGCAAAGCAGGCCGTAAACGTTTTATCATCAACGCTCATATATAGATACTAACGTCCGCACGTAAGGCGAGTTCTCACATAATAATGAACGTGACTTTTATACTTTTAACATTATACGCATATAAATGTATAACATTACCATTAATTAGAATTTGTTATATAAGGAATATGCAAATCGAACTTTATAATTGTACAAATTGCGTGTCCGTTATGTTACTTCGTTCATAATACTGTTGCTAATGGTTTCAACTCTATTTCATTTTGCTATTACTTACTTAGATCCCTTATACACCTCCTCCTTACATTTTAATCACTGTCGATCATGGTAGCTTCCTTAACCAAATTCTCCTTCAAGTCAGACTCGTCCACGTAATTATTCTTCGAATTCTTCTCTTCCGCGGATTTTACGCACTGAAACGAAAAGATAACTCTACATGTATATACAGATACGACTAAGATTTTTGTAAAAACTGTAAAACGAGAAGCAACTTACTTCTTCAATACGTATTCTAGGCGCCATTATTTGTTCGGGAAAATGCCATGGCTTATAATTTGGATTATTAAGTAACTTCCAGCTTGAGTAGCCCACAGAAGCCTTGTGCAATCTTTTCACCATCTGCAAAGTGAATAATTTTGTAAGAATATAGATTGCACGCAATCTCTCCGCTGCAGTCTTCCTTAGAAAACGACTCACTTTTGGAGCAAATATTTGCGTAACCTTATTAACCAACCACACAGGTAATTTTCCATGTGGATCCGTGTGAGATACGTAACCCAACTCGGAACCATCTCCATTGCGCGAAGGCCTTACAATGTAACCTGACATATAAAGCTTTTAAGACATAGAGAATAATAGAGAAATAATAGAGATATGTATAAATTTGTATTGAATATTTTTACCTGTGAGGTAAGATGTTGCTCGTACAAAGTGCTTCCTAGGTGGGTAATCTTTGTGATAAACGGAATGATTTAATATCAATTGCTCTATACCAGTGTCCAGCCAAGATCGCTGCAGAACAAAATCCCTATTTTTTAACGGAGATGGACACGTCACTGAAATTTGCAAAATATCAATATAACAAGACTCCAAGTATTGGAGATAAAAAATCAATCTTGAAGAAATTCTTTTAAAGATACACCATACTTACTGGAATAATAACCAATATCATTGTTTGGATTGAAAAATCCTATGTCTTTCGATTCAATCATGTGAGTGTCCCAAACTTTTCTATACTCAGGATCGTGTAGAACGTCGTACAGAGTTTCTGGAGTAATATCAGGAAAACGTGTTCTAATCTGTAACATCAAACCATTTTATTTTGATCAGGAAGTTTTTAGTATTACTTAAGGAGCTTAGTCATTAGCTATGCATTTTTTCTGGGTGCATCAAGGGAGTTATTACAAAATTTATTATTTATTATTTATTGAGCAAAATTATATTTTTATATAATTATTTATCTAAATAATAAATAATGATTTGAAACTAAATTCATAATATTATCTTGCCATATTTTGCTCAGTACAATGTCAAAACATAAAACAGCAATTTTTTGGCCTACAATTAACTATAATATAAAAATGATATAGTAAATATTGTTCTTTCTTTTATACAGTGTTCCTTAATATATAATAACAGTAAGTTTTTTATTTTCATGATGTCATTTTTTAAAAAGTTACACTAGAATAATGGTCATCTGTATTGCTCCTACCATAAGATTATATATGTAAAATAATATTGAGTATTAAATTTCTTATAATATAATATGGCATAGACAAATCATATAAAACCTTAACTACAAATGTATGTGAAATATTACATTAAAGTTTTGTGTAATTTTATGTACTTTAAGTAAACAAACTCTTTAAATCAAAGATTTTATTCTCTTTAATACAAAGAGAAAAAAAAAGAAAACATACCTTCACCATTCTAAAACTAATTCCACGGACGGATTTTGTCCAAACAGATAGGTCAGGTTTATTGTAATCTAATCTCCAGTCATTATTATCATCGTATAACTGTTTCAGTTTCTCAAAATCCTTATCTTCAGCAATTTTGACAACACCAATATCCATTGTGGTAAGAACAATGTCTAGAAATCAAATATTGTAAGTATTACTCTGTCTGAATATATAAATAGAAATATAAAGACTACAGCGTAAGAATTCAAATGTGAAAATTCAAAATCAACTGAAGATCAATACATCAATACATCTGACACTTACCTGTGGTTGGCTAAAGAAGTCTATCAGTAGGCAGTCAGTACTATCATTTTCTTCACTCATTCAGTTTATAGTACCTCTATGTAGGAATTTCCAGGTACGTTGCATATAAAATTAGGCTTGCATCAATACCTGCGATTCTCTCTGCATTTTATCTGCGACAGAGGACTATACTTTGACTATGTGCTTAAGGATAGAGATTCAAAGTTATAAAAGAAAACACGTGATACACATGTATGCGTACTCGCTTTTGTCGCGGCGCACAGCTCTCCCCGTTCGTGTCGCAGGACTAATAACGACGACAATCAAGTCATATCATTCACCCGTTTTAAGAAGCTCGTTATCGCAGGTGATAGAGATTCGAGATAATTGGACTTTCGAAACGCTCACGAGCATGTCCCACCGATGAATCACGGCAATCATAGGTTAATTCGGAGCGGCGCGTACGTGTTGCGGACAACATCGGGACGACGGTGTACGGAAGGAAGCCGACTTGGGAAATCTTACAGCAACATTCCTCCTTGATGAACAACAGTCCGCCTGACGCTCGACGACCCTTTCGAACGTCAATTCGACCGGATCGAGCTTATGAGCGCGACTGCTATTTCGCGATCGGTGACTGCGACGACGGCGATCGTTGTTACATACGCGTTATCTCTCGCCATCTGTTTACCACGCCGACTTCCCCGAGTCGCTATCAGACGCTTCAGGCCATACGGCCTCTTGACAATCGGTCTGTCATTATCAGCCGGTGCGGCCGATGGAGCGAACGTGAAGCGCGTCGAAGCGCGTCTAAGCGCGTCTCGACTTCAACTAAAAAGATGAATTGACTTGGAAAGATGACAGACTATTGCATGACGATAGACATTGCAAAAAATACCGACTCTTGATAATCACTGTTGAACGCATCGTGAATAATTGCTGTTGGAAAATAAAAAGGTCTTTTGTGCCACTTCTGATCACCTTATTTGAAAAAGTAGTCTGACCAGCCATTGAGTTATGCTACTTGAAGAATGAGCTGTCTTCTTTGTCACTGAGCCGTACTACGATCTCGTTTTTTTTCGTTTCGTTTATTTAAGCCAGCGGCACACGGTGCTTGTTTTCATGCTGGATTGCTTGCTAATTGGTGCATTTCTGAAGATGGATGAAAATACACCAATCAAAACAGAGTATTTCCATCCAGCAAGCAATCCAACACGAAAACAAGCACTGTGTGCCGCTGGCTTTAGATATATAGGATGTACAAAAGGTGTACTGGGTAAAAGTACTGAGCCTATCTCCCCTTTAAGGGTGCGTTCAGATTCTTCATCCGGGTGCACTCTATTACTAGAAACATTATAGTATATGTTACATATACTATACACTTTTAGTAATAGAATACACCCGGGTGGGGAATCTGAACACAGCCTAGGAAGATTACAAATAATCGCTCTTAGGCTGATATTTCACGTGTCGTACGACAAGCTTTTTGGATACGTTCATTGGTTGACGAACAGACAACCTAGAAATACTCTATTCGCCAACCAATAAACGTATCCGAAAAGCTTGTCGTATGATACGTGAAATAGCACGGGAGCGTCCCGATTGATCACGGTACGATTGGACACAACCAACCGATGAAAAGAATTATCTAGTGAATTACTAGGTCGAACCAATCATTACAATCTGTGTCCAATCGTATCGTGGTCAATCGGGTCCCACCTTTACAGTTACAATCACCAGTATAACTACGCAATTATCTTCTTATTGGTTACTTATAGGCACATCCTTTTCCTTATAGTTATTCTTATGTTCATAATTCTAGTACTCTCTAGTACTCTACTTATACTTACTTGTACCTAGTACTACGATCTTGATTCTTCCGCAACGATAGTGGAGGCTCGTAACGGAGACTTTAGAACTAAAATATAAGGAGTTTAATCATCTTATTGGCTCTCGCAACCAGTGCGACGCCTGGTGTCTGCGAGAGCTATTACTTTTTTTAGTTCTAAAGTCTCCGCTACGAGCCTTCACTGTCGTTACTGAAGAATCGAGGTCGTAGTTGGTCGTAGTACGACTCAATGACAAGTCAAACATACATTATTAAAAATGGCAAATTTGATTGGAAACACCAGTACACACTAGAACTGTTTGATGAATCTTTTTGATACATGCACAATCGTTTTAAATTCGCCTCTAAATGCTCCATAACCAGTGCAAGAAGTTCTCAATCAATCGTGCAAGGCAGTATTAAATAAAACGACGCGTAGCCGCTCTTCGGCTCTGTATTCGTGGACCAGCATAAATAACAACAACAATAACATACTTTCGGACTTCTTTCTGATGAAAAAATACATATTTTTAACTTAAAATGGGGAAAACTGAGATAAATAACGAGGTGAGATATGTTATCTGTGTCTTGGTAAAAATTGCACGATTTATTATTGCTAGAGAAATATTTCTCATAATTAATATACCATATTTATTCATATAATACGTACATCTTATATTTTCAGATTGTTTTATTACGACATACAGTTCGCCAAGCGCGTGTTTGCATAGTGAATAAGCTAATCAGGGAAGCCAAATTCTTACGGGATAAAAATGGAAATGAAGCTCAACGGGAGAAGAACAAAAGAAAAGCTGACAAGCTTGTAGCAGAGGTTTATGCACTGAAAACCATTAAGGATGATGAAATTTCTAAATTTGGTATCATGAATGAAAAGGAAGTGAAAGATATACTGCAAGATCAATCCTCAAGTAGCAAGGACCGCATAATAGCAAGAGTTACAGACTACAAATCTTTCCACAGAAGACTGATGCAGTTCAGAGAAAGATTTCCAGACTACAAGATGCACTTATCAGAAGGAAAGAAGAAAACTACAAGACTGAAAAAGAAGAATTCAGTGAAGAGCAAGAAATCCTTGGCAGAAAATAATCATCATCCTCAGCGTGAAGATACAAAGGAACTAAATGTTGATTCTGATAATATTATTGAGGATTCTCAACATGATCCCAAAGACAAGAAAACCTGCGCAAGCAGATTATGTGAAACAAAGAATAAATCAGGTAAACGCAAGAAGTCCTCAAATGAGGACAATACAGCCTTGATCGATAAAAAGTTACCAAAGTTGGTAGAAGATAATATATCAAAGGATGCAAATAAAGAACCAAGTGAAGTTAAACTATGTAGCGTTACAAGGGAAGGTACAGTAAAACGATTCGCAGAGCTCTTAAAAGAGCAAGATTCCACTGAAGATGTACAGACGTCTGCAGAGAATCTACAGACCGACCACGAACGTGCTGCAACTGTGCAAGCAAGATCAGTCAATGACTTCTTTATTACAGAAAACGACGAAGAAGGTTATCAAGACGCTAATGCTTCAACGTCGCGCACAAAATTCGATACTTCAGCCAAAACACTTGGCACAAATAATCGAGTCAAAACGCAAAACGCAAAGTTCAAGAACGAAAAAAGGATAGAAAAGGATAAAGCTCAAAAAAATAGTCAATCGAAGAAACAGCCGAGAGGAGAGAAGATGACTGGACGTAATAAATATTCGGATGAGCAATCTTCTGCCGTGAGACAGGAGAAAAGGACATCTAACAGGATCAATAAGAATATAAATAAGAATAATTTAAACGTCGTCAATGACGGAGAGAAAGCTACTGATTTACATCCTTCCTGGTTGGCTAAGAAGAAGCAGCAAGAAGTTATGAGCCAAGGATTTCAAGGGAAGAAAATCGTATTTGCAGATGATTAATAGATTAATATATTATGAGTAATATGAGACTAATATATTATAATAATATGATTAATCAATTCCCTGCACATCTGTAACTATTTACGAGTTACTCTCGGGAGAAGAAATAAAAAGGACATTTCATTAATCGCGAACCTATGACGCATTGATTGCGCTCAATAAATACAACAGTTGCGCAACCGTTGAGTAAAAATTATTTGATTGGTGTATACTTTTAGATCAAAGGCTATTTGATAATTACGTCACACCACGAGGAGAAAGGTGAGGGGGGTGGTCTATTAGATTACATGCCAGTCTGTGATGACAGAAAGAGAAAAGGGGAATAAATATGTGGAATGTATTCTATATCGAAATTTTTGTGTAAAAATATATTCTGTAAAAATAATTTAATTTTGTGTTAAAGATTTTAATTTCGAAATATTTCTTTCTTTAAACATAACTTTTACTAATTAAAATTATAAGATGAAGTAATTTGATATTATATCTAAAAATCATATTTGCATTTTAAAAAAAGATAGTATAGTTTAATAATTATTATTGCTCGCAATATGGTATAAATTATTTCTTATTCTGTAAGGAGAATGGGAATAATTCTGTCATATATATATGTATATATATAATATTGAAAGAGGGTCCAAACAAATTTTGTGACAAAGGAGAGGAGAGATAATAAAAAATACTCAAATTTCGCGTGACGTAATTGTTGAATGATCTCTTAATAGTTATATATTCATCTTCACATATAACTAGCTAAAACTACCCGGCCTTGCAGGGGTTATCACTAGTGTAAGTGTTAAGAGAATGAAATTAAGGGAAAGGATAGGTGGATTGGTTCCTCTCTTATGTAATCTACATTTTCCGCAGCGTCCCAGAAAATAACTATGCAAAATTTGGTTCATACCGATCAAAGGTTTTAAGAGTATATAAGAAACAGATAGATGTTCCAGTATATGACCGGTATTCATAATCGGATCTTATTTAAAATCACTTTGAGTTTATCTCCAGGAACTGTACGAGTTATTTCATTGACTACAGAATATCTGAAGGTAAACTTAAGACAGTCTTAAATATAAGACCCGACTACACAAATACTGATCTATATTTATAATTTACACTCTTTTGGAAAACAGTAGAGATCATTTAATCGTGATGTTCGCTGAATGCAGCCACTGTTAACTTACGATTAGATTTATTTGTTTTGTCAAAAAAAAGTATATATATATATATATATATATATATATATATATATATATATATATATATATATATATATATATATATATATATATATAT